TATTCAAGGGGTTGTATGGTGCTCTGATGAACGGTCGTGATATTTGAGGTAGTATCTTGTGGGAACCACTGGAGGATTCGTCGAGTACGCATAACAATGGTAATGCAACTGCTAATATCGATTCATTATCAATATCGTCCTTCACAGTTGACCACAATCTACCGTCAGTAATACCTCATCAGCCGTCGTTATTGTCAGTCAGTGATCTGGTGATACAGAACTCGTCATCTCCTTTAGCAAACTCATTGACTGTACCTAGCAGTATCAATATGAGTACCGATAGTGCGAGCAGTACCAATTTAATTTTGGGTGTGGATGACTGTGAACCGGATTGGGTGAGGAGTATTGAAATGACCACTGATTCTGCGAATAAACGGAACGAGTCTTTCATTGTTAGTTGCATTATTATTTGCCCTTTGATTCCAATTATCATCAACGGTTTATCAGTTGATCTAACATTTAACATTCTAAGGACAGATGGAAAGATGTGGCGTGTTTCAACTGACGAGCAATTTTCAGAAAACAGATGATGCGAATCAGTCGAAAGTATTCCCCTTTTTTGACAACACTGAGTGCGGAGATGCATTGAATCATAGCGCAATAACGAACGCTGGTAAAACAACACGTCCGAAGTTTGAGTTGAGCGAAGAGTTGATGCCGATCGATGCCGATATTGACAAGTCGTTCGAAGAGAGAGCGCAGAAATTGTTATTGTATTTGTTCGAACGTGAGCTGCTCGATCCAGCTCAGTTAGTTTCAATATCCTAAAGTTGCATTCAGTTACACTGAACAAATCATTTACATCGTCCATCGAAAAACTCTCTCTTTATTATTGCATAAATAACGCAAAACGATTCGTTATGAAAAGACATTTTTTCCGTTGCAATAAGTTAACCTCTGATAGTGTTCCGATTACAGATGGTGGGATGTTATTTGGCCGGTTAGTCGTCGTGTATCGGAAATGATAAAAATCGATAGTGAGGGACGTAAGGATCACATCAACATCCTAAAATATGTTCATATCAAAAAATTGTGTGTTCACGAAAAACCGTCGGCATCAGTAAGTTATCAACACTTTCATTCAATTCATGTCCATAATTTGATTCAAATAACGAATTCATTGATTAGCACTGCTGATCGAATCAGTTCTGAAACTATTGATGTCAATAACGAAATAATGAGTGAAATTTA